TTCAGCTGGAAAAGTGTCATTATCAACATGGTTCTAACATTTTTGGATTGCATTTTTAAAATTTTCAATTTTGGAATTTGCAGCAATAAAATTAACTTAGCTTTTTGGGAATCATGGAAAATAATTATTTCAGCTGGAAAAGTGTCATTAAAATTGTGGAGACAGGTAGAATTATTCCAACTGATGAATTGTATGACCTTTGTTAGGCCAGCATAGACAAATTCAGACATTGGATGTCTGCTGTTTTTTTAGCATAATTTTTCACAATTACCCAGATGACATTCAATGATGTTGGAAGCGATTTAATAACGCTGAAGTCAGTATTTTGAAACAAATGATTTTTTCTTTCAAATAATAGATTACAATCCAAATATTCTAGAAAATTATGGTGCAGTCCTAGGACTTGATTGGAGGACCATCAGGGAGGATTTCCAATGTAATTCTCATTCTTGGGACAGCTGGATGTGTATATAATTCAATAACAATTGACATCGATGCTCAAAACAAATTTTTGTTCTGCTCAAATTGAAACAGAATCACATAATACTTGACGACTGCTGTTGAAACTTCCTGATAGTTCGTGAACAGGTACATCCTTTTGAGGTACGATCAATTTCGGTAACCAAACCAACGGTAACGACTGTACTCGTCCAGTTAGACAGTTTTATTTGCTAGACTTTAACTTAGCGAAAACGCGATGAGTCATTACTCACGCATCGCAGGTCGCGGGGCGACATCTGTTCGCGACGCGCCAAGATCAAGCCTCCACCTCAGATGGATTCTAAACTGCATGTCGCCTGTTCCAACGTTTTGGCGCTCAAAAATTATCAAGAATTGATCGGATTATGATTATAGTACTGTACACCCAATTTACATCGAGTCTCTCATTTTGCGCTTGATGTCATTCTGGAAAAATGAAAAATCTCTGAAAAAATGCTTCCAAAGCGTGAAGAAAAGTGCACTAACAATTCTAAAAACTCTAAATGTTATAAAGTGAAATTTGAGCCCTTTGAAATAATTTACCTTCTTTGAATACTAGAATATGATCCCCACAGGATGGAGCACAAACTTCAAAATTGCATGGAAGTTGTCCAAATACATCTTTAGATACCTCAGTCAAGTGCCTGAATGAAAATCACAAATTTGATATACTGCAGCATGAAAAATGTATCAATGGTAAAATAGTAACCATAACTTGCTCATAAATAGAACTGGAAAGCATTTACACAACAGCACTTCCATGTTTTGTTTCCATCCACCCAGAGAGAAAAGAGTTGAATAAAATCAATTTATTATTCTGGGTATTGTTGTTACTGAGGTATAAAAAGTCGTATCAACTACACGTCCCTCGACTACTGACAGACATGACTAGGTGGTTCTATAATTTTCGCATTTATTAACATTCTTAAACTCTAATACTGACTTCAAATTTATTCCCTCACTGCATGACAGTGTGTCTGTGTCAACTGCATAAAAGTTGGTTCATTGGACGGATCAGCAAATCCCTGTGTAGACAAAAATATTATTGAGTTTTGTGGCAACAAGAAGAGCGTCTCACCAACAAGAAAATTCTGCCAAGGAATCCTGCTGGCAAATAAGTGCATATTTATTCTTCCTTCCCTTATTGTTAACTCGGGCATATATTGAATACACACAAAAGAAGAGAAAATTTCCTCTTTTGCAAACATCAGCTGTTCCTGAACCAGTTCATCCTTCAATGTTCCCTTCATATTGATGGGTGACAAGTGTAGTGATCAAGAGTGCCCACAATTCTGCAAATATATCCTGGTACCAGTTCCTCATTTTCAGTATCTGCATCATTGCCATTTCCTGTTTCCCCCTGATGAATACTGGGGAGTACATTTTGTTGACCTAGAACCCTATTAGACAATGATTTTTCTTGGTTTTTGATGNTATAACTGGTTTTTGAGCTCTAATGCAGGAGCTATATAAAGATACATGCAAAGGTTCATTCAGATTTGTGTTTGTTTGCCAGCAATTGAGACGTTATACATTTTCCTTCAGCAAACTCTTTCAAACATGGCTAAATCAAACGCTCCACATACATAATATAAACAAATTATGAATTGATGCACAACCCTTCAAGATGATGCATTCACGAAAGTACCCTGAAAATCTTTTTCAACAAAAAAAGTCAACAATTCGGAGTGAATTTATAGAAACAGTATATGCATCTACAGTACAGTACAAAAAAATCATAGAAAATTGAGAATCTTGTGAATCAGACTCAAATTAAGCAAAAAATTGCCAAACAAGAGCAGCATACAATATTTAAAAAAACCAGAGTAGATCAAAGTACAACTGTGAGGTCAAAAAAAGCAGAAATATACTTGATAAATACTTACACTTAAGATAGTTAAAAATGACTTTAATTAAGCTTCCATCACATTTCTATCAGCCAAATTACTTCAAATTATTCCATTTTCATTCAGAGTGATGCAAACAGAACTGCAATCAGTGTTTTACACTGGGATATATTTTTCAAACAAAATAGGAAGTACAGTGAGACCCCAAGATGCGGACATAATTGGTGCATCAAGAGTGTCCCTAAGTCGAGTCTCATTTTCCCTTAGGCTTACATTATATAATTTTTAATTGGTGTTCCCTGTACAAAATACTCACCCTAATTCCATTAAAAAAATTGTCTCCCAACTTAAACTGATTCAATCAATGTATTTCAACACAATATGAACATTTTGGGAATTGAATACTGATACCTCATCTGTACAGTGTGTTGGCATTTTCTGTAAAAATAAAATTCAAGTGAAAAAGAGAGAAGGAAATCTCTCTGTATATGCTGGTGGTAATTATTTTAAATTAGCTAAATAGATGGTAAATTGGTGAGAGAAATGCCCAAGAACTTTTCTTACATCAATTTTAGGGTTTGAAACATCTGTTTCATGTAAATTTGCTTGATATTTATTTGCAATTTTATTGCAAAATGTTCCTATGTTGAGTCAATGTCCTCATGTTGGGACTTTTTTGTGATTTTTTAATGGTAAAATAAGTGTCCCTTGGTCAAAATGTCCGCAGGTCAAAGCGTCCGCATGTGGGGGTCTCACTGTATAGGGTGTGGGTGTGTTACTTGAATTGGTAAATATGGTTTGATGGTAACCCTTTGCCAATTCATAGATCATACTCCTGAAAAGTGGATAACAGAATACTCCTCAAAGTCAGATTTCTCAAATCCCACTTTTCTGATTTCCAGTACTTTTACTTGAAGATTTGAATAAACTGCATCCATGATGAAGGATTCCTGCAATGTTAAGCCTAATTGAAGGATTAACCATTTAAACATCATTATTAACATGCAATTAGAAAATGTGAGTTGAGCTCCAAAAAGTTTTGTTTGCGTTTACAGTAATTGAAATCAGAAATAATTAATTTTTCAGTTGCATGTGTGCTTTCTAATGTAAACATTGTGTAAAGACCCCAGCAAAATAAAATAAAAATGGTGAAGTATTCGTGAATTTTCTGACCTGGTATTGAAGGAACCTAACGAGGTTTTTCCACATGTTCGTTGGGTCATGGTAATGAAGCTTCCGGAACAAGTCTTCATCCTCTAAAAGCATTGAGTCTACTTCAGGGAATACTGAATATGATGAAGATGACAGACAAGGCTCCTTGGGTGACGCTGTTGATTCTTTAAATATGAACTCAAAGTTCATGTCATCCAATAATGAAGAGTCAGCTTTGCTCAGGTTTGCCTTTGTCAATTTTGGTATCCCTGTTGTTGTCAAAGCCCTTGCTGTTGTCTGCACTTTGGCTTCAATTGTGGGTTTCTTCAAACAATTTGCTGGTTGAATCCTGTTGGCCACTGTTACAAGCCACAACTATGGCAAAAGAATGTCATTTGTCACATTTGCTTCTGATAAATTTGACTTGAGATTTTGATCTTACTGTAAGAAGAATATGGATCATGATCAACACCCTGCAAGAACTGATCAATATATTTGACTGGCTACATTCACTTCAAAATCAGTTGATTCTGAGTGCCCACAGGAAATTGACTCCATCAACATTTGAAGTGCAGGAAACATTTTTTCCTGGTAATGTAGTTTTTAATTCTTCTGCTGTTGGGAAAGCTTTGATTAAATCCCTTCCCAGGATGTTATTAGCAGTAAGTGTTATCCACTTTTTTAAACCAGTAAAGCTCCTTTACATGTTTCATCTATTACAGTATTTAGGTTTAATGCTGTTATTTAGAAAAAATATACACAGTAGACTCTTGTCACAATGTTTATTTTAACAGTACAGTATGTGAAATCTAACTGCAATGTTCCTCAAGTCTCAACATGAAGATTTTCATCATAGGAAATGGTCTTTCTGCTTCTAGAATCTAGTATAGAAAAATGCATGCATTTTTGATCATAAGATTTACTTGGCACAAATATGCCCTCACTTTTTGGTAGATCAAAAGTTTGCCACACAACTTTTACAATGCATGAGTCTCTTGCACCACATTCTACTGGTAATGTTTGCTGATGACATACAGTATTTTGAAATCATTTAGTCAAGGACTTCTGGGATTAAAGGAGAACATCCCAAAATACTATATTACTCTACCTATTTTTCCCAAACTGAATTGCACTACAGTATTTACTTGCGTACCATACACCCTTGCACAAAATACACATCATTTTTTACAAAAATATGTAAAAGCATAATCCCCAAAAAGAAGCACACCATTGTCTTCAGGAAAAAATATTGGAATTCAAAAAGCTCAACAGCTGAAATGAATAATCTGCGCTCAAAATAAAAAAAATTCAATTGCAATCAATCCGTTGACAATGTGATCCAAGGATCAAATTATTGTCAACAAGAAATCTGAAAAGATATGCAGAAGAATACTTTTTATTGGAGTAGAAGTTAATCACAAGTACCTCAATTTTTTGGAAAGAACAGCGCACAGGATACCCAAAAAAATTACAGAACAATTCAGTTCAGGGCAGTTTGAAATGCTGAATAAACAACAAGCATTGATCCATTCCTCCTTTACTTAACAACGCATGGTTTTTTTTTGTGCACAGCAATTCAGTGAGATTCAAACAAGATATCACAGCAATTTGCAACAAACAACGCGTCACTAAACACCAGTGAAACGTGCGTGGACTATTCGGGTTGAATTTCGTCAAAGTTTTAAATAAATAAAAAATATTGCACAGGAATTGAGGGGAATGTACAGAACTGGGTTCTGGTCCACAAAAGGCATCCAGAACACACAACCCTGCCGTCTCCCACATTCCGCCATTGAATTTCTGAAATGTTCCAACATATTGTACTGAAATTCTTACTAGAGTTTCATAAATTCAGCAATTTTGTGCTGCACAAAATCAGATGCGTCAACATTTTTTTTGGTACGGCACAGAAATTTTTTCCTGGTCATGTGAGTTAGTTTTCTATGGATGTACAGTACTTTGAAAATAATGCAACTGAGATTTCATGGGAATTCTAGGACGAATCTCTCCCTAATTCTTCAACAATAAAAAAAAACATCAAATTTTACTTCGCTGATGATGAAAACACGCATGACTGAATCAATATCAGAAAGAGATCCTTTCAATGCAGGCTCATCACACAAAAAGCACCAACGTGAACGAAGAAATCAATAGAAAACATGGGTGAGAGGATCCCCTACTCTCTGTTTTCACTAATGCTTTCTTCCCGCCCCAGAGGGATCATCTAATCTAAAATCAAGCGCAAAACAATACCTCTGAAAGATGAATCACTTTTTCAACCCATTATTAGTTCTGCTTGAACATGCGTTTACTGTGCTGTAACTACATATTGCAATAGCTTTCCCGAGTTTTGTTTCCCAAATCCTCATTTTCGATTCTCCTTAGCAAAAAAAACGTATCTACCAAATATTCTCCCATGTTTTTTTCTCTCAGTGCTGACATTAAATTTTATGGGTGAAATTTTTCCGATGGCGCCAAAACAAAAGATTCAGTGAACTCACGAAGATTCTTCCCTCCATGACCAAACGCTCAATAAAAACTAGACTAACTTCATTCAATCGCCCATGCCCGTTTTCATGGTACCCAAGGCGGTCTTTCGAGCGCCAATTCTTGCATTTTCTCTTCAACTTCTTGGTCCATTTCCTCGCGGAAATCCAGGGATAAGATCCAAGCGTGATAGGCGTCCTTGGCAAGGTTGTATTGATTTCTCGCAGTCCTTTCTAGTTTCGCTTGACGGATCCGTCTAGAAAATTTCAGAATTTTTTTTAATTCGGTTCCTTTCGATTAATATGTCTTGCTTTCTGGAGAATTTTTTTTTTCGGATTTTCAAAAACTTTCTTCAGCTCATGGCATGGTTATCAGTAAAACTTTCCAGTCACTGATTCCTTAAAATTTGTCAAGCCAGCTGAAAATTGAAATTTCTGACATTTCTTTTAGACCCAGCAGCATGGGTAGAGAAGTCTGGTAGTCACTGGAAAGTTTCCACTCATCATCATGCAGGAAGTTTGAAAAATGTTTTTAAAAATAGAATAAAAATCCCAGAACTGCACAATTTTATGCGCTGTATAATGATTTTTTTCTACAGTACTGTACAGTAATGACTACTCCAGAAATAACCAAGGTCGCGCCCAAGTGCCGTGACAACCCTTGCACGTCTCGATACTGTACAAAGAAATTTCAAAAGAAAAATTGTCAGTCGTGATCACACTCCTGAATGATTTTGTTGAAAGAGATTCTACTGTAGATGCCGATGTGGGTGGATACGTTCAGTTATTTTCTATGACTTACGTGCGTTTTATGTGCTCGGCTCTTTGACGATTTTTCTTGCTCAACCACACGGTGAAGGCCTTTTCTGGATTTGCATCAACGCGTTTGAGCTGTCCGAGTTCTTCAGAATCCATGACATTGTCTTCAGGAATGTTCAAATTCTCTGTCCCAGAGCTTGGCACGGGTTTCTTCTGCTTTACTGCCTTTTCAGCCTTCCAAGCTTCAAACGCCTGCAATGTCAAAATCCATACATTTAAAGGGACTTGCACAGTTAGAACGAGATTTGATTAACACAGTCTTTCATTAATCTGCACCTGTATGGTTGAATATCTTTCACCACCAGTACCTTCTTACCAAAATTCTTTGATGTCAGGTAATAATACACTGTACTGTATTTACTCAAGTACCAAGTACCCTTGAACAAGATTTGCACCTGTATTAATTAGCCAAAAACGCATCCCTGCATAAGACCTCCATTCCTGTTTTATTTTGGATGAAAATCTACCCCCTGACCAACTTTTGGACTAACATTGCTATGGTTTCATGATTTTTTGTTGAAAAGTGTATACAGTACCTGCATAACCCCAAACTCTTCTGCCCTGATTTTTCAGAGAAAAAGGTACATGTTGCACTTGCATAATTATGGTTTATACACTGGCAAATCTACTTTGTACTGCATTTACTCCAGTAACAAGTGTCCGGAAGTATAACATGCACTGCTGGTTTCCAGTGGGAAATTTTGATGAAATCATAACCCCAAGTAAGACACCCACTTCATTTTCAGTGACTCTCAAACCCCAATATGTCAAAAAGCAAAAACTTCCAAATTTTGAATTTAGACAGAGCTCAACAGGAATTCAACTAATTGAAAAAATGTTATTAACATTAGTTTTTCTGATAAAATGTATCCAAAATTTCTTATTAGAATCAACTATACAGCACATATCATGTCTAAAAACTTTTTAAAAGGAGTATACCCACCAATATGCACCCCCTTTTCTCCTCTCAAATTTGATAAAGATCTGCGTGGTACTTGAGTAAACACTATTCCATGTGCTGCCAAGTAAAACACACACGCAAACCCAATTTTTAGTACAACAATGGTAATATTTCGCAGAACACATCAGAGCTTAAAGTTTCACTTGAATTTACCAAGCATAGTAATTCTCAATTTTTTTTAATTTGTCAAAATGTTCTATTGAAATGAGTTAAAAATGTATCATTACGAGTTAAATATGACATGCACCTGAACTTTAAAAATCTTTAAAAATTGTATAACCACCCACAACACGCATCTTCCTTCTCTGCTTTCAATTGAAAGAAGTGCACGCATTACATGAGTAAAGCATCGACAATCTGCGGGAAAGCTGCATTTCTCATCAAAAACTCGATGCCAAAACAGTAACACAGTTTTTATTGCTGTAACGAATACTGTACGTACTTTTTTGCAATTTATCTTTTTGCGCTCTTCTTCCTGTTTCTTGGCAAGAGCATCCAACTTGGCCTTTTCCCTCTGCTTTTCTTGTTCCGATTTGTACGCCAAGTCAGCCGCGTCTTTCCATTCTTTATAGGCTTTTTCTTGAAAGTAGGCTACGAGAAGAGCCCGAACAACAAGGCTTCGTCGAAAGGATCTTCGTCGACGAAAAAGGAAACGGAAGAATCGGAGAAAGTTGAAGAAGGTGAATAACATGCTTAGTTGAAATAGTGAGGGTTCATCAGCTTTTTCCATATCTACTCAGGCAGAAAGGAGTTACACGACGGTTAGGCATTTCGGCGAAGAGAAGAAATCCAAAGCTGCTTAAGTACAGCGTCTAACAAATTCGCAGAATACTCTTGTTGATAAGCAACCCGTAATTATATTTTTAATCCTGCATTAATCCCAGTTCCTCTAGGGAATCACGCATACTTACAAAATGTTCTTTACTTAAAGTTTCCTAAGGAAACGGGGGGCACAATTAAGGCCAAGTAATTTGAGGAAGTGTTTCCGAGGTTTGTATAAGCAATTTCGTAGGGACAATTTCGGGATATTGAATCAATCACTTTGCTCGCTTACAAACAAAAACCAGTCACTATCAACTGATGAGAGTCTAACATTTCATTCGCCCACAAAATAATAACAAAGTGGCACGAAAAAGTCCAGTAATAGATGTGTTAAGGGAAAACCCTTCGCGTTCGAAGGTCTGTTTCTAGTTCATAACCGCTGGGAGAATTCAGCCAAGGTCACGAATAAATACGACAGAAGATTTTCGACTTAGGGAGGTTCACCAGTACAAAACTTTTTCATAATATACAGTAGTATAACGTAAAGAAGAATGGGGTTAAAACTTGCATGCGGGAAAATTTGCACAGATAAGCAAGAAATATGAGATCAGTCACGACTCACGAGGGTAGAAACAGGACTAAGAAATGAGTTAGATGCCGTCCTAAAGCAGCAATGTAGAATGAATAAACGGAAGAGGACTGATAGTCAAATCACATTTCGTGTACCTGCATTACCAACGAAGTTTCTGGATTATTCACAGGATTTATTTCCGGGCAAAATGTCATCGATAACATGCTGAATCTCTATTACATGTTGATCTAAGCTCCCGGGGGGACATTCATCCCGCAAAAATGCAATCAATCGTTGGAAGTATTCCAAATTTTTGCCACTGGGCCCACACGAAGAAATAATTTGCTGAGCAGCCACTTTGGGACACGTTGGGCCGAGGAACAACGGGCCTTCACTAGGAGCGATGTACACGTGGACAAATATTCCTCGAGCGTCACTATTTGCGTCTTTTGGATAGAAAGTGGCTGATTTCACAGGGCCGTAAGTGATTTCTCGAATGCCGAGATTTGCCCAAGTTTCTTCTTCTTTACCTTCTTCAATCAGGTAAGCCGCACCCCAGACTCTCGCCTACGAACGCAAAAATCACGCCACTGAAACGAGCTCACGATCAAAAGAGTAGGTCTCAGGAGATGAAATATTAGAAGTTCAAAATGTATTCTGTAGCATGATCGACGGAAGCAATCTCAACTCACGTCTTTATCTTCTGAGGGAACAAGAGTAACGACTCTTCCAGGCTGTAAAAGAATTCGGATCACAATTTAGAGTCGAACGTCGCTCCATCTCGATCATGAACAGAATGAAATACCTTTTCGTGCGTTCCACGATGATCAACACTGGCTTGCCAAAATCGTCTCAAATAACCGGTAACGTATCCAACAAGCCTTTTTTCGTACGGAAAATCCGTTTTCCACACAAGAGACCCGTATCCGAAAATCCAAACGGCTCCCCCCATGGTTGAAGTCCTTGCGAGATAACGTCAATTGTACCGGTATCCGACAAATGCACCGTAATATCACAGATCAACCCCACTATCACTTCACTGTAATCCGAATGCATCTAAGCGTTCAGAAAACACGAGATTCCTATAGAAAATGAAGGCATTCCTTTACCAGTTGGAAAAGGCGGCGAGCGGTTTTGCTCAATAAAATCATCCCGTTTGGTTCCCCGCAGAATTCAAAATCGTCCAAAAGAAAAAGGAATCCCATAAAACCATCAATTATCCCCAAGTAGCAAATGCTTCGCTGAACTTGTCCGCATGAACCATTTTTAGATAGTATATCACAGCTTTGAAGCGGGCTGCCCCTTGAACTTATCGCGTAACTTATACAAAACGCTAGACACTTCATCATAGTGCGGTGCGAAATGTTGCTTCACCAATTTCCCCCATTCCGCTAAAACTTTCCTTCCGGCGAACACGTCAACTCCAGCAATGGCTGAAATACAGGAATGTAAGAGACACGCTCCGAGGTATGAAACTGCGCAAAAACTCACCGGGTTGCTCGAGTTCACAAAGCGCAAGAATATCAGCAACACTCGGAGCTTCGGTCGTTGCGATGAACTTCCGATCCTTCAGCCAAACTTGCTCAATGTGATCCAATGTTCGTTCCATAGCTTCCATTCGCTTCTCAACCGCTCCAGGTTTCGGAGGAACTCCCGTGACAGTAGGAATGAGCCACTGAAAAATCTCGAAAGGTGAAGATCTTCCAACAATTCCGCGGAACTTCTAAGGACGGTACCTTCGTTTGGAAGAACATCGCACAATTCATTCGAGTGTTCGCGTGCTGCCATTCCATGTATTCGTCAACCTTAGCACGAATGCGAGGCTGAGAAGGATACCACTTCTCATGAACTCCGAAATTGTTTCGGCAAATGTGACGTAATATGGCAACGCTTTCCGTGAGTACGAATCCGTCAAGCAGGTAGTGACCGTGCCGTGGTTTGCCTAAATGAGCGTTTTTAAGAAGGCTAAATACGAGTTTGGCCGCTTCGCGTTGTCCGACCCTAACTTTACCGTGTAATAAGTCGAAGTTCTCGTCTTGCTCGGCTCGTGAAGGTTGCGAGAGGAGGTCGTAGTAAATCCGCAACATGATCCTGTGAACAAACAATCATCGCATAAAATTGTGAAGATGTTCAAAAACTGCTTGAGAATTTCATCTTCGCACGCGGCAACAAAACGCTTGTACACTTCATTTACGAGCAAAACGTTATTCACAAATGTACCACAGCATTTCGCAACAATAAAAATTCGGAACGATCTTTAAAGATTCCACATACGCAAAACGAAGTTGTTCGGGGCCCAACTTCACCCAAATGCTTTCAATTCAGGGTTGAAATACCAGAACGTAAACGTTTTAATTCCTTAAACATTAGGATCACGTGGAAATAGTAAGGGATCCCTATTGGGACCCTTAGCTACGACATCTACCTTTTCTTAAGTGATACGTTAGCAGCCGACTGGATTACCCACCCCGGCTTTGCCAGGAAGCAGATGGTTATCGCGATCGGAGGAGAATCGTCCATCACTGGCACGGCACCAAACGGATTTACTCGCAAAAATTCTTCCGATTTATGCTCAAACCGGCGAAGCGCAACAGGCTGGGATTGAAATGGCACATTATTCAGCTTCAAGAGCAGAACGAGGGCTCGTGAAGGTTGCGAGAGGAGGTCGTAGTAAATCCGCAACATGATCCTGTGAACAAACAATCATCGCATAAAATTGTGAAGATGTTCAAAAACTGCTTGAGAATTTCGTCTCCACACGCGGCAACAAAACGCTTGTACACTTCATTTACGCGCAAAACGTTATTCACAAATGTACCGCAGCATTTCGCAACAATAGAAATTCGGAACGATCTTTAAAAATTCCACATACGCAAAACGAAGTTGTTCGGGGCCCAACTTCACCCAAATGCTTTCAATTCAGGGTTGAAATATCAGAACGTCAACTTTTTAATTTCTCAAACATTAGGATCACTTGGAAATCAATCCGCCCAAAGGGGTTTCCAACCACGATAGCAGGAACCACAACATCGATGGTTGTATCACATGCCATTTGATGATCATACGGTATGGCTGCTACTACACAGGTTGACTTCCTCTAATTTGAACAATTCTCTCAGTCTAATGGATTTTCTCTTGGTCCCTTGAACTTTTAGGGATCTTTACTTTACCCATCCTGCATCAAATTTCTCTATACAATGACTTGTTTCCTGTCCCCTGAATTTTGTTATTGAGTCAATGCACCTCTTTTCCCTTTTTCAAATAAATTGTGTTTACTTACCAGATTCCGACATATTTTGCACAAAAAAATATCAACAAAGAATAATGTTGGACAGAAGATGAAATGTAATGAACGTCCAAAGTTAATCTGTATTCGGCTTTTTAAAAATCCTACAGCCAATTTGAAAAATTGCGCAAGTCTGGCAGTTATAGAAGGTGCAGTTTCATAATAAATACTGTACTGTAGTTTATAAAAGCTAATGCGCAATTCAAATGAAACAGTTGGATGACTGCTATATGGCTACAATGAGCTACCATAGCAAAAAATATCATCAGTGCTGTCCATTATTGAATTTTGCAACCTGTAATTCTTAGCTTGGACTTGAAAACTTCTATGGCAAGAAGATATGAAAGTAACCTCCATTTTAGCAGCAATGTTTTCTCAGCTGAATGTTAACCCTCATATATTGTATATACTCTCTTGTACAGAGGTTTAAAAATGTAACTTTCTCATGTGCTGCTCATCAGTATTCTTCAATTTTGACAATTTATTCCTCAATGCATGAAGAATTCACTGAGCTTTCATTTCATGCCTGGTTCCCTGTACAGATTTACACATTGTTCACTGAATCCTCATGAATTGGGATTTATTCCTTCTAATTTTTATGAAAAGTTTTGCAGTTTTTGAAATTTATTTGAATTACAGTAGTTTCTTCTCATGATTCGTGTTATTTTCAACTTCCGTCGGCTCTCAAAGACAAACTTTTCAGAGCAAAAAGATTTCTAATACAGTGTTTGCTCCCTTTTTGCAGTCCAAAAATCTTGACGAAAACAGTTTGAGCAAACGAAGGCAAGTAGTCATTTTGAGGAAAATATGTTCCCTGGTCCAGAAGTCGACAACGCAGAAGTGAGAATAACAGTTACATTTCCAATAAAGATTCTGCAGAACAGGAGCTTTCAAAAAAGTAATGAAAATATGGAAAGAAAAATGCGTCAGTTCATCACCCCAAGCAAAAATTGTTTCCAGGGAGCGATTTTAGGATTAATTATCATATGCCTGAAAATTCATTTTATAAAAAAGAAGCAAGAGGACCAAGTTCCAATTCCCTTTCAATTTCAAGAAAAATTCAGCAGGGTTTCCAACGACTCCGCCATTGCCTGTAGACATTATATTTTTAAATCATCTCAGAAAGGCAATCTACATCCATCATCAGAGATCAAAAATAAAATGATCATAGAAAATCTGGGCAACAAAAATATAATGAAAAAGCATGATTGTAGACTGAAGGATTTACCTTGGGCATTCATTGAAAAAGGAACAATCAGAATATCCAAAGATGGAGCAACTTGCAACTTTTCTGGTAAATACGTTTCACTTTCTTGAATTAAGTCACATGAAATTTCAAGAACAGTTTTGCAGAGGTCATCTATCAGTCAGACTTCATTCTTTTGGAAGCAAAACCAACAGTTGGAGTGACAACGGTTTACACAACAATGTACTCAGATACTGTAAAGGCTGAATGCATTTCAAGACTGGAGATGTGGCAAGATGTTTTTTCCATGCAAACTAGAAAACAAAATATCCCACTTGAGCAAATCGCATCAGGAAAAAGTCAGGGGTTGAAGCTGAACATTATTGTGCGGATGATAGACTCAATTTCTAGATCAGCATTCATCAAGTCAGCAAAAAAGTCTTGGACATACATGAGGATGCAGAAAAATGCCTTAACCTTCTTTGGTGCAAATACAGTGGGACACAACAGCTTGCCAAATTTGACACCCCTTTTGTTTGGTAAGAAATTTCATTTGAACATTCACTTGCCCAATGGCATGCAAATGCCTATACACTGGGTTTTTACATTTTGAATGCAAGAAAATACTGCAATGCAATATTTTACTGAAATAAAAATGTTTGCACATCTGTCACACTAATTTTAGTACTCCTGTTCCTTTCTTAACTTTGATGGAGCATGATTCATTTTTCTCATATTCTGTCTTCTGCTTTGAAATGTGACCATGTGTTTATTTAACTGTGCTTTTGAGTTACTCATCAGAAGCTATTTTTTTTACAAAAATTAAAACTTCAGCTCTTGTAAATTTTCTGCACATTTTCAGATGATTTTAGAGATTCTGCACAAGAACAAAAAAGAGAAAACTTGAATCTTGAATGCAGTGCAGTATTTTAATTCAACCATAAGAAATAAAATGATTTTTGAAGGAGAGAAAAAAATAATTGCCAAGGATTAGAGTGGAACCAACATTACCTATTGAAGTATGGCAAAATGCATAAAAAACTTCTTTCAATATCATCAGTGTCAGGAAAATGATACTATTTTGCCCATTGAAGTCTAAGGGAAAACCAACTCTATTATTTAGAAGAAAATCTCTTTAAAAAAAGAAAACTTACTTCTGAAATAGAGTATACTGTATTAGGTTCATTGCCTGATCCTAACATTTGTAAGATTAGAGGTGAGATCATTTTCTACAGGTCAACAGGAGCATGAATTCCTACAAGGAGGTCTCATAACATCCAGGCATATTGAAGATGCAGCATCCTATGAAGGTCTTTGGAAAGCCCTTCACAGATTAGGCTATGTCACATTGTACCATGAATGGAATGAGGAGGGCACCTGGCTTGGGACATTCCAACAGTTCAGAAGTCTGCAAGGATTCAGAAATCCACCAACAGACCATTACAACAGGGCTTTCCAAGTCACTTGGAAACAAATGAACAGACTGAAAAGCTCTGTTTGCAGATGGAATCATACACAGAACTGGGTTTAGTATTTTCTGTGGCACAATTGAAAAAGTGTCTCAAATTACAGTCAAATTTACATGAAGCATAGAAACACATTTCTGCCAACAGTTCCCAGAAACTTGATTTTTCAATTATTGCATGGAACTGAAATCTTTTCTTAAAATTTATAAATATCATATTTGAATGAACAGTAACACATTGATAAAAAGTATATGAAAAGTAAGATATTAAAATCTTGACATTTGGCTCTGGTATTCAGTCAGGAATTTTTTTGCAGGCTGAGCAAGAATACCTCAGAGACATTTGGCTCGAATATCCTGACAAGCCAAAATTCTTCTTCTACATAGATGCCTTTTACACCCATGCTTCAAATGAACTTTCAGCCATTGATCATGAGCTTCTTGAATTCCTCAAGTGGACCCAGTCATCAGAAGTGCAAAACAACACACTCTTCATTTTAATGAGTGATCATGCTAGTTTCATCTACTCTCCAGAGGAAGGAGAGTTCAGAGTGCAAATGGAGTCCAGATCCCCTCTGCTCCATATTTCATACCCACCCTGGATGACTTCTGATGCCATAGCTTCTCTGAAAATCAATGCAAAAGAACGCTTAGTCACTACATTTGATCTACACAGGACTTTGACTGAGCTTCCATATATGTTCTCAAAAAGCAAGACTGTTCCAGGTCCTAAACCCCTACCTTGTCAAGTCAATGAATTGTGCTACAATATTTTCCAAGAAATACCCAAGACCAGATCCTGTGCAGATGCAGGCATTCAACCCCCCTGGTGTGGTTGTGTAGAACCATTACTAGTTGAAGAAGCAGAGAAAAATAAAGTAGTGGAATTGTGTTCACAGAAAGCCCTCATTTTGATCAACAGTCATTTGAAAGCAAGTAGACTAATGTTGGAACACATTTGTGAACCGTGGAGGCTAGTTGAAGTGGTTTCATCTTGGGTTTATGGTGGGCCAGGTGAGTCAAGATGATTCATTAAAAAAAAATCAGATAACCATAATTCAATTTCATTTCAGGCATGGGGAATCATTCCAAGCATTTCCACTTCACTTATGATCCAGAAATGCTGACCAAAAGTGTCGCGTATTCGGCAATAATTAAGGCACAACCCGGATCAACTCCATTCCAAATAACATTCAGATACAAGGAAAAAGCGGAAGATCCATGTTCAATGAAAGTAAGTCCTCAAACTCGACACTTTTTCAAATAATTTTATCAACTACACACATTATACGGTTTCTCACGCAGCTTTCGGACATCACAAGAAGGAGCAGATATGAAGAAAGTTCTTGGTGTGTACAACACGAGCCGAAATTCAAGCCATGGTGTTATTGCTTATGAATTGTGAAAACAAAGAAATGTTTGCTTTTGAATTATACGGGAAGAACGTGAGGGGAAATAGAGTTTAATTTGCACAAAACGCAGCGGATTTTCAAATAATTTCGATATGGTCACGTCCGGCAATATATTGTAAAATATTTATTTATTCCGAATTAACATTCAGCATTTTCACAAAAATTGATTTAAAAATACTGCATTTTGAAGAAACATTGAGGGGAAATACTAGATATCTCCCAAATGTTGAATATTGGCTAAAAAATTGCTTTGAAATACAGTATTTCGACGAAATATTGAGGGAGATAATTAGGCATCCCTCACGTGTTTATAGTTTATATATTTTTTCCATCAACATTTCTCTGCACTGTACTGTATTTCACAAACAATTTTTCAAGAAAATGCTGATTGAATAAATACTATTCGGTACTGTAGAATGTGACCATTGAAAATTCACTGCGTTTTCTGCGATTTAAAATCTATTTTCCCTTCACGTTTTTCAGGCAGAATTCAAAACCGAATACTCCTCGATATTCATAGGTTACAAACAAAAATACCATATGGCTTGAAATTTTGGCAAATGCATGCACCGAAAATTTTCTTAATTTCTGCTGCTCCTTCTTTTGTGATGTCCAAAAGCTGCATGAGAAACTTTATAGTTATTAGAATATTAAACAAGTGTCAATAAGTTCGAGGACATACTTTCAGTGAACATTGATCTCCCACTTTTTCCTTGTACAGTATCTGATAATTATGTTAATTAGAATTTGAATATGTGCCTGAATGTCATTCAAGTTGAATAACACGCGTTCTCTCTCTCTCTCTATTTGTTTTATTATATCATCCTAAATTTATGTATGCGTAATTAATAATAACCCTACTTGCAACAAGTTGCCTCATTAAATAGGCGAAGTGATTGTTCTGAATGATTTGTCAAAATTTTCACAGTTTTTGGTCAAAGCTGAGTGAACAGTTTTCTGTGTCTGTCATAGATAACTGAAATTTTTTTCCAGGAAGCTCATCCTTATTCCCTCTTTGGTTTCCACGATTAATTTTTATTATCAACACTTTTTTCTCTCTTGAAAAACATAATTAAATAATTGCTTTCCAATGGAGACTTCCTGCTTATTATCGCGGAACTGGAGTAAAATACTGTATACAGTGTAGGATCTCGTTACAACGAAGCATTCATGGCGACTTTGAAAACGCCTAATAAAAAAAAATCTTGAAAACGAAATGAAACGAAAATTTCGGATAGTGGACAGGGAGCGGAAAAAAACAAATTCGTTGGAAGCATAAATCCGCTCCAACGAGATTCTACAGCATTATTAAGGTTTCTGTTTGAATCTAGAACTCAAGCAGTGAAACAGCTGAATCATGCGAGAGATATCTGTACAGTACGTAGAAAAACAATTCGATTCGGGCAGCTTCTGATTTTTCTGGGTAGATGTCGCTATGACAGGAGTTTCCAAGGACCAGAATATTCGTTACCTTTTTTTCATTTACAGTCATATTCCTTTCAGTGTCTTTTCTTCCACATGCTCTTGATAAATGTATTAATTAAATTTTTTTCAAATTTTGTCGGCATTTATAAAATTATCAACTTGAACAAATCGATGACACTATAAAAAATAATTACTATTTGTAAAATAATTTTACAAAATATGAATCCAACAAGAGCCACTGAATTTTTTTCCTCGCCATAATAACAAAATTTTGAAAAATTTCGAAGTAACCTCAAACAAGACTGAAATATTACTGGGCATATTGACAACTTTTATGAATGATTGACTGCATCTGCGTCATGCCAAGTTACTGTACTACAGAATTAATTAGCGTAGAATTTTTATTCGGATGAACACATGACAGCCTTTTCCAGGTATAACTGACTAAAATTTAAATGCTAGTCCTATAAATCCAATTAAAATCATCAGCACAATATTCTAAAAAATTTGAATGAGGTTCAATACAGCTGCTTCAATATGCCACACATTAAACTGTCCAAGAGAATAAATTTGCATTCAACTCATGTAATATAATACTTTGAAGAAGAACAAATTTGTGTTTCTCAAAACAAAAAAACCTACCCCAGCTGCTTCACTAAAAAAAAGAGAAAACATTAAGACCAAAAAGGAAAATACATTGTTCCTGTAAAAAACTTGTGATCAAAAATGCAGGATGCAACTCTGTGATATCCATGAAACATGTGTCCAGTACTGAGCCTGCATTTAATCTCCACCAGCAGAATACCTGCTTGCTAAAAGAGAGTCATTAGTTATCCTGTCCTGTGTCCATTTTCACAACCCAAATAATTAACAGCAACATACAGTACAACATTTACAGAAGTACCAGGTGTACCTTATTTCCACCAACAAAGTTGGGTGCCCCATCATGTTACTCAGAACATTTGACAACTTGTTGCATGGTTGCAAATCTACAAGCCACGTATTTAAGGCACTATACTATTCATACAAATTACAATGATATCTTGTCAAAACAAATTTGTGGGGACTTCAGAAAAAACTTTTTCTAGCAAAAGAAGTCCGAAAATTCCAGAAAATCAAGATCTTGAGCATGAACAGGTTAGATTCAAAATTATTCTTCCAGCAATTAATTTTGAAAACCTCGATCATTATAAACAATTATTCAGTACGCTGAACAGTGAAATTTTGTCACCAAAAACTCGTGCGGACTTCAGACATGCTTTTGCTGTAGAAAGAAGCCTAAAAATTCCAGAAAATCAATCAGATTCTGAATATATACACGTATGGTCCAAAACAAATTTTTTCCCTAATTAATTTGGAAGATCTCATTATAATAAAGTATCCATCATAGTCTTGAAATCTTGTCTTAAACATTTTTGGGAACTTTATACAATTTTTTTCGTAATGCCACGACTCAGAAAAAGGCTTTTCATACAAACAAAAATTAATGTTATTTGTGGCAATAATATTTTAATGTACAAACGTAAAAATAGTATTAGAAGGTATTCAACTGTCCTGAATAAAACACATGACGGGTTTCCGTGTCAGATGTGCTGCTGATTCAAACGCGTCATAAAATTCCATTCAAAGTCATCTGTCTTTCGAAGAAAGTTTGAAAGGATCTTGATTTGAAATTTTTTTCAATGCCACGCATTCAAGCACCCAGGGAATGCCATTTAAAAAAAAAAACTGGGGAATTTTCTCTCATCCTCACAAGGTCAAATCGAAAGACAGGATGCTTAATAAACAGAATTTATTATGGAGTTGATTGGTCATGATTTGAACTTCCACTCATAAACCAATCAACGGAATGTCTCCTGAAAACAAAGGCCGTGATTAGTTATTTTTTGTTTGTTTGCGCAACGACATAAACCGATCATCCCGGAGATGCAACCCTCAAAAAACAAAAAACAAAATTGGGCCTGCTTTCAACAAGGTCACTTCGGATTTAAAAAAAAAGCCTTCCTTCCTTGAAAGCCATGAAGCTTTGATACATATATAAACAGGATTAATCACCGCATTGCTAATGAATCTGGTCATTCCAGAAGAAGAGCATTTGCAGGGCTAATACCGGATTAATTACCAGGCCATATATGTGTCGCAATTCTAAAGCCAAGGATGTGACGTACGTGCGCAACCCGGGGTTCTCTTTTCTTTCTTTTTTTTCTCATCCTTCCCGTCACTCCAGACAAGTCACAAAACAACCCTTTCGGCGGTTGTGACAGATCCCGTCCTTGCGCACACACACACACACACAGAGCTAATTGCAAAATACGGTCATGAGGATCGTGGCCTTCAGTCGCGTCCTGCCGTGCCGTTCCGGAGACGCCACTTTCGACGGGACGCCACTCGGGCCGGATGACCGCATCAAGTCGGCGGCGGCGGCTGCTGCTTCTTTGCTTGTGTATTGGATGCCGAGGAGCGGCGCGGGGAAATATGGCAACGGGCAGGATTAGCTTGATGGATTCATGCGAGTGGGTCATCGGGTTTCGGATTCCCCAACTCCCCCTTTTAAGAATAAAGAAGCCTCCGTCGGGGCTTCTTCATTTATTCTTTTTTATTTTTGACCCTCGAGGATTTCTACAGCCACCACCAGCACGTTGAGAAAATATTCTTACGTACTGCATACTTGGGAGTTGAATGACAAAAGGCGCCCGGGCAAATTGACCGTCCCCCTCAAAAGAGCGCGTGTCCAATAACGGTCAGAGAAGCGACGCAATCGGCTTAATAAAATTTTAAAAAAATCAAGCATATATACTGCAGTAAATTTTGCCTACAGCGAGAAGAAAATATTTCACTGGAATTAACTGTTTTACGCAACATTGGAACGGCATACGATTTCGTGTAAATTAATTCACGAGTTCGGGTACGTTTCGAAATGACACATTCGGGTTTCCAGCTTTCTTCAAGTTTTCGTGGGCTTTATACTTCGGCAATAAATGATTTTTAATAACCTAATATTTTTAAATAATTATTTACTAGAAGGAGCCAGCCTAGAGTGGAAAAAGAACAGCTTTAAGAGTAATTATTCGAGCTGAAAGTCACTCTTGGGAAATGTCAACGTATTCTTTACAGCATTACTTAAAAAACTGATTTCAGTGGAGAAGCGTTTGAATCTAGATTAAATTCAAGTTCGAATTCAAATTGTATTCATTTCATTATTGAACCACACCCAGATATGAATCAAATCTCAGAGGGACTATCAAAAAGTGACACAAGAATTTCTGAACAAGTTACAGCAATTTTCGCTGCGGAAAATTGAATAAATAAAGAAAAGTGAAATGCAGGGCCCTAAACTGCTTAATAAATTAGTCAAAATGACGCTGAACTTTGAGGCAACGGTAAATTTCCCCCCATTAGCTTGTACAGTTGTACAACAAACATAGTTCAATCAAATCAGGACTGTGTTTGAAGTACAATTTTTGTTCTTCATAATACGATTCACATTTGTACAAAGAACAAATTTCATCACTTGTAAGAAAAACAATTTTCATCATTCATCCATTAACAAATGTAATCATTCATATAAGAAATCAGATTTTATCATTTTTATAAAAAAAATAAAAACTTTCATTTTTACAGAAAATCAATTTTTATAATTTTTATAAAAAAAAATCAAATTTCGTCATTTGCATGAAGACAAATTTATTCTTTGTCTAAATTTTATTTGTAGTGCTAAATGAAAGAAATTGAACCTCACTGTTTCTTCTTGTTTGGGACTCTTAAAATTTGATGGAAAGACTCTTGCCAAAATCTCAGAGGACCAATAATTAAACTGTTAGCTTAATTTATACGATTTCCCCTCAATGATTCTCTCCGAATTGTTTACTCAACTGACACTTATCTGGCAGGAGGCTGAACACCTTTTGTGCTTTAATTTGTGATCAGTAATTGCCTTGTGCTGCAATTTCATTTTCTGATAATTTCAATTACTGATACCCATTTATAGCTTGATGTGATGGAATGTATTTGGATGGATATGGTTGGGGAAGGGGTTTGGATGTGGGAACATTATATGAACTTTGTGAACGCGCTGAAAATTGGGAAATAAAACTTGTCCATCAATCAATCAATCAATCAATCAAAAGGTACCCACTGCAGTTGCTTCCTTCCTGTCATAGAGCATCGAGTTTCATCATTATTGCTCTTCTCCATCTCGGGTCCCTAATCCCTATACATAGTATAAGAGCATGAAGGCCTGCCAAAATTTTAGCAATACCGAGGTTTCCGATTAAAATTCATTCAATTAGCTTTACATTACAGTGTTATCAAGAGCATTCAGACAGGGACAAAGCAAACATTTGACAAAGGGAGATTTCTTCACAAAGTCAAATTGTAAAAAAAAAAATCTGAATAAAAAATAAATAAACAAGGCACGTGTCTCAATTGAGGATAAATTTTATCCACGTTTTAATAGCCGAACGTTAGAGGCGAGTGTCTTGAAGGCAGCAAGTAGTACTTGAATAAATACCGTATCACAATAAGAAAAAAAATTAAAAATAAAATGAAAGCTCACGCATGCGCCAAACCAACCAATAAACCGCGTTTTCGTCAGGCGTTGTCAAGATCGCTGTTGAACAAAAGGTGTTGCGCATATAAAACAGGAACGTTGCTTGACTTGATTTCTCGCCCGCGCTGTTTTGGGACGCGCTCAATTGTCTCGGTCTTGCGAAGTATATGGGGAAAACGTTCCAAGGAAAAGAACATTCGACGCGGTTTGTCCACAGCGGGGTGGCGTAATTCCGGTTGATTTACGCCCGGGATTCAAAAAGGAGAAGAAGCGAGGATAACTAATGCGAGAATATGGTTTTTTTTTTTGCATGCTGGGGGAAGCGTGTTGGGAAATGTCTGCTGATGGATGCAGTCATTCAGCTCGCATGTTTTACGAACTTATTGTTAAAATTCTTATAGTCCAGCGATTAGATAGTTCACCATGGATGTGAATGAACCCGTTGAGAAACCCAATGAAATATTCTAAAATCTAAGTATAATCCCCTCGTCCAGGTTTTTGAAAAGCGATTGAAATTATAACTGGAAAACACAACGCCAAAATTACGGTTTCCACCAATGCATGTAGTGGTAGAAAAAAAAAAACAACCAAAACCAAAGTGAGAAAAAGTAAAAAGGAATTCGCCTAATTTTGTTTTCACTAATGGATTCATGTTGAATAATCATTCAGCCCAATATTATATAGAAAGGATGGAGTTATCCCTTGAGAAAGCTTACAAAATGTTCTAAAATATAATTCTTCAAGGTTTTTCATAGGCGATTGAAATTATGACTGAAAAAAACGCCAAAGTAACGTTTTCCACCAATGCATGTCTGGTAGAAAAAAACCCCAACAACCAAAGTGAAAAAGTAAAAAAGACTTCGTCTAATTTTGTTTTCACTAATGGATTCATGTTCAATAATCATTCAGCCCAATATTATATAGAAAGGATGGAGTTATCCCTTGAGAAAGCTTACAAAATATTCTAAAATCGAATTCTTCAAGGATTTTGATAAGTGATTGAAATTATGACTGAAGAACACAACGTCAAAATTACGGTTTCCGCCAATAGATGTGTGGTAGAAAAAAAACCACAACCGAAGTAAAAAAAAAAAAGTAGAAACGAATTCGCCTAATTTTGTTTCCACTCATGGATTCATGTTGAATAATTATTCAGCCCAATATTATATAAAAAAAAGGATGGAGTTATCCGTTGATGAGGAAGCTTATAAAATATTCCAAAAATCTAAATGAAATCCCTTCTTCCAGGTTTTTGAAAAGCGATTGAAATTATTATGACTGAAAAACACAACGTCAAAATTACGGTTTCCACCAATACATCAAGTGGTAGAAAAAAACCACAGCCACAGGTGAAAAAAAATAAAAATTAATTCGCTTAAATTTTGTTTTCACTTATGGATTCATGTTGTCATTCAGCCCAATATCACATACAAAAGATGATGGAGTGAGCCCCCGAGAAAGCGTTTAAATATTCTAAATAAATCCCCCTCTTCAATTTTTTGATAAGCAAAATGAAATTATGCCCGAGAAACACAATAAGGTCAAGCTTTCGGTTTCTACACCAATGCAACAAGCGGTGAAAAAAAAAACGTTCAGCGAAAAAATAATTAAAAGTGAATTCGCTTGATTTCGTTTCAACTTATGGATTTATGTTAGTATTTATTCAGTCCAACACTAAATACTTCACAATAGATCGAGTGACCCCTTGGTAAAGCTTTTACAGTATTCTAAATAAAATCCCCTTTGTCCAGTTTTTAGGAAAGCCATTGAAATTATGTATAAAAAAACCTGACGTCAATTATTTATTTTCTACCAATGCAACAAGTGGTAAAAAATACCTCACCAAAACGAAAAAAAAGGAAAAATGAATTCGCTCAATTTCTTCTCTTGTGAATAATTCATGTTGGATAATTATTTGGCAAAGTGTGAGCCCTTGAGTACGCTTTTAAAATTCTGTTCTCTCAATAAAAATTTCTTCCAGTTTATCGGAAATCCAATGAAATTAGGACTGAATAAACACGGGGTCAAGTTTACACCAAAATGCAGCAAGTGCTGGAAAAAAACCTAGGACAAAGCAAAAAAAAAAGGGTAAAAATAAGTTCAAGTATTTTTTCCGATGGATTCTTGTTGGAAACTTATTCAGTGCAACATCGAGTCTATGAAACACGTTAGCATAATAACTTGAGAACGTGAAAATATGTCAAATATATTTGTGGACATTCCCAAACATAGGGACAAGTTTCATGCACCAATCACGTCCGCTTCTCGGGAACCCAATATATATATATACAAAATAAGTTCCCATCGAAGTCTATATGGGAAAACGGTATCCGTCATGCGCGGAAATTCCTGACAAAATTATGATAAAAAACGGGTGAATTTTGTACATTTTTTAATAAGTATTCTCCATCCTCTGTGCATTGGTACTAATTATCCTTCCATTTTTGGACTCCTTCTCATTCGGAAATGGGGAAGATTCTTCGTGGTTTTTTTCTGCTATCATTTTCTTCATCTTGAAAGATAAGAAAAAAAATTATTAAATTTCATCGGGGATTCAT